CTTTGCCTTTAATATAAGCCACTTCCAATACCAAATGGTCAACTAGAAGTCAAGTTATTATTTGTTCCTAAAACGTGGACAGGGGACAAGACTTTAGTCTGGTAGTGTATAGACTAAAAAGAGATGGTTACATTAAAATTGAAACTTAGATAGCTAATTCAGTCTTCTTAGTAAAATCGCCACTTTCCAAGTTTTTCTCTTTGTGTGTGTGTGTGTGTGTGTGTGTGTGTGTGTGTTTTTTGTTAAATAAAATGTTTATCAGTTGACTATAAACAATTATCTTCAGGAATATGGAGAGTAATTTTTCTAACATACAATATTTGCAGACTGAAATGACATTTTGCAATGGTTTTTCTCCAAACCTGGGAAAGTGATGGCATTATTAGATAAAATTCTTGTCTTTTGCTGTGAAAATACACAAAAATCAGCTTTTTTGACCTCAAGATGGACACAAAATCCTGGAGGGACTGATAAAATCCATCTGTTTTTGCGTAAAAGCAAATAGGCATGAGACGATAACCGGTTTTAAGGTTTACTGCCGATTGGAAAAGTTAACAAAAGTCGCTAACATTTTCTGTCATTCCGTTCTTAAGATATATGTAAGGTTTTTTTGAATGTGTTTTTTAATGTGCTGTTAAGAAATCTGTGCTTTTGAAACGAATGAAGATAGCATTTTATTTGAATTATTTAGCCTGACATGACTGTTCCAAAGTATTATAAATGTTTCCTAAATGAAATATATTGCGTTAAATGATAGCATGATATTTTTATCCAAGGTAATCATACCGTCAGAAACTCAAACCCGCCCATGCCTAAAATCAAATCCTTTTATGAAAGGAAAATTGATTTAATGTAACTTAGTTATACATGTTATACTAATAAATTTAAGTTTTCCTTTTTTTGTTTTTGTTTCTAAATATAGAAAAACATTCAAATTTAGCAATCAGCAAACTTCTCTTCTTAATTGAGATCCTGAAATTACTATATATACAGCATTATTATCATATATCTTTAAAATACAACTTAAACTTGTCTTTTAAACTCCCCATGCCCTATTCATTGAAAGTGCCAAGTGTTAACCTTTAGATTTTAGCACGTTGCCCTTACAAAAAAACAGATTTCTCATCCAGCAAACGTCATAACTGCACTGTATTTAGAACAACCATTGTTTCTCATGAGCAAAAATGTATTTTGTGAAGAAAAAAACAAAGTAACGGATGATGATATAATAATCAAGCGTGTGGCAGATTTCACTGTAAAGGTACAATATTGGCACCAAATGTTTTCTAAATGTTTTTTTTTTGTGCAAATGTTTTTCTCTAGCAGCTCTAATGTTTACAAACCTATGTTCATCGGCATACCTGTTGTACTAATCTTTGGATGTTTGGAAGGGAAGGAAGATTTCTATTAAAAAGACAAGCAAACGTGTAACTCATCTGGCTTTGGGTCTTCATCAAATACAGCTGCACGAAGCTGACCTCATTTACGCAGCGGTTGTGTTAACGTTAGCATGTCTGACACCTGCGTAAACCAGAAAAAACAAATAAAACGTTACCCAGGCCAAGAGAAACATGCTGACACAGCGCTGTCCCACAATCAGGCTCACCCACCTGAATCTGAGGTCACTGGCTTTAGAGAGACCGAAGAGATCACAATATGAGGAAACTTTTGCAGCACGACAGTAGGATGTCCTTTCATGACTCTCGACAATTCAACACAAATGCCTATCAAGCACATCCAAACATTGACCGAATGAGTTTGAACGACGCTATATAGAACAAACTGCTGAAATTGGATCAGTGAAATTATTTCTATCCTTAAAGCTCATTCACACCAAACTCTATACAGTAAATGATTATTTTCCTGTGAAATGTTTATTCCTTTTCAAATATTTATCAAGTGATATTTAAGAGAGCAAGGACAGTGACAACGTTTACAATAGACATCAGTAATCGAATTATTTGGCTTAATCTGAGTAAGACAATAATGTGATTGAGGTTTTTACATGAGTTGCTTCTTGATCGATCCTTTCATTATCCCATTTTACGTTATAGCACTTAATTCGATTAACGTCATTGCCACGATATCCACATTTCCTCCAGAGTTTCATGTCATTTCGGGGGTATCATTTTTAATTTGTCGACTTAAACTGCAGATTGGCACTTTCACATACATTCAGGAACATTTCATGCATGCCCCCATGACAAACAAGATATTGGATGCGAGTTTCATCTGCTAGAACAGTGTTGTTTTAATGGAGTATTCCACACAGCGTATGGGGAAAGAAAACCTTCGCATTTTGCAATGCAGGTGTTTGTGTTCCTTTACTGACTCAGTAGACGCATAGAATAGTGTCAAACAGCCTTGTGTGTACAGACTATCCTGTCGTAAAATGGCAAAATGTCGCAAAAGCTTGATTGCAGGGTTAATGTTTTTTTACCCAGACATTAAAAAAGTACTTATACCATGATAGCATGATATTTTTATGCAAGGTTATCATACCGTCAGAAACTTATATCGGCCCATGCCTAAAGTCAAATCATTTTATGAATGGAAAATTAATTTATTATAACGTAGTTATACATGAAATCAATTATTAGAACTGTATTATAACTGTAATTTATTATCATTAAAAGTGCCAAGTGTTATCCTTTAGATTTTAGCACGTTGCCCTTTAAAAAACAGATTTCTCATCCAGCAAACGTTGACGTCATAACTGCACTGTATTAAGAACAACTATTGTTTCAGTGACAACGTTAACATAGACATCAGTAATTAAATTATTTGGCTTACTCTAAATAAGACAATAATGTGATTGATGTTTTACTCGAGTTGCTTCTTGATCGATCCTTTCATGATCCCATTTTACGTCATAGCACATAATTCGATTAACGTCATTGCCAAGATATCCACATTTCCTCCAGAGTTTCATGTCATTTCGGGGGTTTCATTTTTAATTTGTCGACTTGAACTGCAGATCGGCACTTTCACATACATTCAGGAAAATTTCATGCATGCCCCCATGACAAATAAGATATTGGATGCGGGTTTGAACTGCTAGAACAGTGTTGTTTTAATGGAGTTTGATACCACACAGCGTATGGGGAAAGAAAATCTTCGCATTTTGCAATGCAGGTGTTTGTGTTCCTTTACTGACTCAGTAGACGCATAGAATAGTGTCAAACAGCCTTGTGTGTACAGACTATCCTGTCGTAAAATGGCAAAATGTCGCAAAAGCTTGATTGCAGGGTTAATGTTTTTTTACCCAGACATTAAAAAAGTACTTATACCATGATATTTTTATGCAAGGTTATCATACCGTCAGAAACTTATATCGGCCCATGCCTAAAGTCAAATCATTTTATGAATGGAAAATTAATTTATTATAACAAAGTTATACATGAAATCAATTATTAGAACTGTAATTTATTATCATTGAAAATGCCAAGTGTTATCCTTTAGATTTTAGCACGTTGCCCTTTAAAAAACAGATTTCTCATCCAGCAAATGTTGACGTCATAACTGCACTGTATTAAGAACAACTATTGTTTCAGTGACAACGTTAACATAGACATCAGTAATCAAATTATTTGGCTTAATCTGAGTAAGACAATAACGTGATTGAGGTTTTTACATGAGTCGCTTCTTGATCAATCCTTTCATGATCCCATTTTACGTTACAGCACATAATTCGATTAACGTCATTGCCACGATATCCACATTTCCTCCAGAGTTTCATGTGATTTCGGGAGCTTCATTTTTAATTTGTCGACTTGAACTGCAGATTGCCACTTTCACATACATTCAGGAACATTTCATGCACGCCCCCCCCCTGACAAACGAGATATTGGATGCGAGTTTGAACTGCTAGAAAAGTGTTGTTTTAATGGGGTATTCCACACAGCGTATGGGGAAAGAAAACCTTCGCATTTTGCAACGCAGGTGTTTTTGGTCCTTTACTGACTAGTAGACGAACAGAATAGTGTCAAACAGCCTTGTGCAGGGGTGGCCAACCCTGGCCTTGTGTGTACAGATTATCCTGTTGTAAAATGGCAAAATGTCACAAAAGCTTGATTGCAGTGTTTACATGTAGCGTACAGTAGCGTACAGTAATGCGACTTAAATCAGCAAACTCTACATCTCTTAATTCCATTTCTCTTTAGTTCAATCATGACATTAGTTTTATCAAAAATCGCTGTTTACATGGTAGACTCTTAAGCATAGTATTGTCTTAATCGTATTAAAATCTGATTATTGGTGTCTATGTAAACATACTGGGTGTCACAATATTTCTGTCTTTCGGAAGAGATGATAAACAGAGATCCTGACTCTCTGTGGTCATTAAGAATCGCATGGCACTTCTCGTAAAGAGTAGGGGACCCTGATGTCCTGTTTTCAATGAAGCGTGATTTATTGGTAAAACTGTCCGTAGACACAATTCACACAAATTTGTGCACAGGCAAGTTAAGTGAATGCCTATTGCTCCTTTGTGCTACCATTTTAGTTGTGTGATAATTTGTGTTAAAAATATCCATGTATTTTTTTTTAACAAGAGTGCCATTTTCTCATATATCAGTGCATTAGCATGATTTTATACAAGAGTTCAAGAAACAAAAAAAAATATTGAGTTACATTTTAAACACAATACCATTTCTTTTCTGTTTTGCCATCAACAATAGCTCCAACCATTTGAATGAATCATTTGAACTGAATGATTCAGTGAATCGCTCTTCAAGACTGACTTGTTGCCATCTACTGGCCATTTTGCGGTCATATTTATTTTACCCACAATGAGCCAAAAAACACCAACATCGAAAACATATTGAGACATCATTTCATTTTCAGTATCACACATACACACTACCATTGTGAGCGAGCCTTTGGATGCATTTATTTTTTTTTTTTAAAGACAACTTTACTTACACAAATTTTAAAAAATACTGTATTTTTGTTACTGTCATCCATCACTCCATTTCTAACAACAAACACTAAGCCATGTCTTGTTAGAAAAGTTACTGTATTGCACATAACCACATGACATTGAAAATTACAAAATCGCGACACATTTGTGCACATTCATCCGTTCAGCAAAATATATTTAAATACAAAAATAAACCTTTAGTTCAAGATCTCATACGTTTTAACACTCGGTGACGGTCAGCTATGTAGATTGTCAACGAATTGCGTAATTATCCGAGAATATTATTGCTTTTCTCCCTGAGTCATCGACACCATGGTCCCTTTGCACCGGTCATATTTTCATCAATCTTCTTCCACTGTTATGGATCCAGGGATGTTTTGTGCTCTGGCGTGTCCCATGAGTTCAGGACCGCAGCAGAGCAGGTCTTGATCCCATTTTCCTCATGTCGTTCCACAGGAGAGTTACCGGGCAAAGCTGTACGGAAAAATAGAGGAAATACTTTAAAAATTGACCTTTTGTGTTTTGTAAATGGCAGGTTTGATTGGAATGAAATGAACCCTTGTGCACTTGCTCCTTAGTGCAACTGGATCATTTCGTTCAGTGTGAAGGGAACATGGTCATTGGAAACAAACGGCATTTGGTCCTCATCCAAACTAATTCTGCAGCAGTTTGATTAAAATATGAATTCAACATTCACCCAAGACATCTGAATACAGAAAAAAATGGCACATGTCATGATGCCACCAAAAAACGTAACCCTTGTGTTCTATTGAGAATGTTTTCATCCACTCTGGGGTGATTTGGAGTCTTAATTTGGCCACAGCTTTCTCTGTGTGTTTAGCAACTGGAATGATTTTTGGTGACAAATCTTATTTTGACACATATTTTAAGAAAATACTTTGATAATGTTCAAAAACTCAACATACTCTGGGCAAATTTACCACCATTTTGTAATGTTGGTGGCTGTTTTTGCCACATTGACTTATACTATAATGACTTTTTTGATTGCAAAGCCATGGCACTAAATAATCATGCATTCTTGATGCTTTTCCCTGTTGGGAAGAGGTCAGATTTGTACTGCTGATCATCAGTTGCAGTGTAAAAAAAAAAAACATAGTTTCTGGCTTTTATATGGAATTATATGAAGTATAGTGTGTGTGTGTGTGTGTGTGTGTGTGTGTACGTGTTTTTGTGATATATCAGGACACAAATCTGTATAATGACATGGGTATGACACGGGTATTAAAAAAAGGAGGTGAAATATGAGGACATTGGTGACATCCTCGTATCTCAAAATGCTTATAAATCCTACAGGATGAGTTTAATCAGAGAGTAAAGCTGCACACAGTCTCCTGTGATGGTTGGGTTTAGGGGTGGGGTGGGGTAAGGGCAATACAATATATGGTTTGGACAGTATAAAATGAATGGAAACCTATGTAATGTCCCCACTTTTCACAAAAACAAACGTGTGTGTGTGTTTGTGCGTGTGTGTGCATGTGTGTGCATGTGTGTGTGTGTGTGAGAGAGAAACCTTTGCACACTTACCTTGATATGTCTGAGATAACCAAAACAAGCAGCTCAGCTCTCAGAACATAGTAAACATAGTGAGTGTATTTATGCACACAACCACACACTCTAATTGACCCTTCGCTAAGCCCCGCCCTACTTAGCTACTGTTGCAACGCCTGACAAGCTTTCGTGCCTGGCATGGCTTTTACAATGTGTATGCGCCGGTGTCAGACATTGCCAGGGATATAATGTCATTTTTGGCGAACAGGTGAGATATCAGAGAAAGCCAGACAAAAAAGGACTGCAGTATGCATTACAGGGGGATATTCACCACATAATAGGCAACCGATTAGAGCAGGGGTTCCCAAACTTTTCAGCCCGCGACCCCAAAAATAATCATATTAGTGGCTCGCGACCCCCATTTTTTAAGGTGGTTGTACTGTAAATATGTAAATGTTGCAGACACAACTATAGGCAAATATAAACATGAGCTTATTGACAACACAAAAATGCAACAGTCTATTAGCCATATAATGTTTTTTAAAGTCATTTATGGATTTAATTACATTTTGCTTTTAAAATTAAAGGCTGATGGCTGATTGTTATTTTTTATGTTGTTGTTTCTTTAATGCAACTATTAACTATATTCTGTCGATTATGAATAAAATATGGTAATTCTAATAGTTTAATAAATTTATTTGAGTTTTGGATATCACCAAGCGACCCCTTGTCATTGTCCCGCGACCCCCTAGGGGGTCCCGACCCCCACTTTGAGAACCACTGGATTAGAGAATAATTCAATCAAAATTGAAGCTAGCTTAGCCTAGCTGCCTCATACGCTAACAATTCAACAGCTTAGCTCATGCTCAGCAGGAGAGGTGACATTTAAAAATAATATAATAATAATGAATTAAACCGTGATTTCTCTATTTTTAGCCAAAAAGCCTGATAGACTATTGTTGTGCAATGAATTATAGCGTTACTAACCGACGAGGAAACACGCATAGACAGTGGTTTTACATAACGTTAGTTCATTCATAGAAAGAACAGCCAGAAAGGGGAAACTGATTGATTTGAGCTGAATATTAGCATCATTGACTCATAACAATGCAGTAGGTTACCTATAACTGTCAGTATGTTTGTGTGCTCTTTATAAATTACTGAAAAACAGCCGCTGGTAAAGTATATTGATCGCAAGTGCTCAGTTCGTGATCACATCTCTGTTTTGTTCTGTTGATTTGTAATTTTAAATATTCGTAGCTTGAAATAGATGGATATATGAAGTTTAGTAAAGTTAGCAACAGATTCGTATTTTCCAAATCAATAACTCATGTCATTACGCACTATTCGCTATTAGTATGACTAACGTTACTATGAAGGCTTAAAGGGTGCTCATAATATCGAGCCAAAAAAAAAAGAAAGAAACTGCTTTGTATTTTTGTAGGAAGCAGTTTAGATCCGTTTAGGGTAAGAGGTGTGCGAGTTATTGCCGTCGGTCTGTCACTGAATGTGTCAGGAATATCGAAACAAAACCAACTTAGCTCCGCTCCTTTAGCGCTCCTCACACAGCTTGATCCACGCTGCCATTTCTCCTCTTGGGTTTTTGGTTTTGAAAAGGAAAAAAATTCCCCTGTGCCATCCAAACTTTAAGGATACCGGGTGTCAGATTTGCACAATCCATATGCACTCACTCGAAAGCTTGACAGAGCCCCTGTGCATAGCTACAGTTGCTAAGCCACGATTGGTGGGTGGCGGTTTTTGGGAGTGGCTAAGTGAGGAGTCAATTTGCTGTTATACTCCATAGAATTCAATATAAAAGGCAGAAATTTTGCACTGGCCTATCTTAAGGGCTAATGCTAAAGATTTTAGCCTAGGGATCTTTTTGGATTTCCCAAATTTGTCTCAGGCGACCAAATCAAGCTAAACTCCGTATAAACCCTGATGCATTGGAAAAAATCCACAAACACGTCAAGCCAAAACTGGGAGTTCAAAGAAGCAACGCACCTTCCGTATAGCTTTTATGACTCTGCTGGACGAAGTAGAGAAAAGTGAAGAAAGTGAATCCCAGGCAGCCGAAGATCATCCCACACAGCAGGAAACTGAAGCTGCCCCGACTGTGCATCACCTGAGGAAGGACACACATTCACACAGTCACATAACCTAGCGGAGCATCATAATACTCGCCACGCAAAGCTTAAGGGTTCAAGTCCCACACCTACCGAACCCACGAGCACCTGGAGCACCATCTCGCCCATTCCTGCACTGGTCACCAGCACCGTGGTGGCACAGCCTGGACATAAAACACACCAAAATGAGTTGACATTCATGTTTTTTTTGACATTCATGTCCTGGAGGGCAGGTGTCCTGCAAAGATTAGTTCCAACCCCAATCAGAAACACCTGGGCTAGCTAATCAAGCTCTTACTAGGCTTTCTAGAAACATCCGTGCAGGTGTGTTGAGGCAAGGTGGAGCTAAAGTAAAATCTGCAGGACACCAGCCCTCCAGGACTGAGTTTGGGCAAACCTAATCTAGGTAATAAGTATGAAAAACTGGAAAACTAAAATGGTTTGTCAATATAAAACTTTAGGGATTGTTTACCCCAAAATGAAAATTCTTATCAAGCTGTTTCCATCCAAAGATATGCTTTAGATTTATGCACAAACCTGAGATAAAGCTTTTAAACAACAGACAACTTTAATGATATATATTATCATATATATTATTAATAATATATAATTGAATATATATATATATATATATATATATATATATATATATATATATATATATATATATATATGATTAATAATAATATATTAATTATTCAAAAAAATAGGAATAACGAATAATCTTAACATATTAATATTTTTTGAGAGCAGTTGCAGCAGTGTGTCATTTTTTGTTTCGATTTCATTTTTTTAATCAAGCACCTGCTTCAAGTTTTCCTATCATGTGAGCTTTTCCACCTGGTTAAAACAAAAATCACATGACTTTTGATGTGCATGCTTAAATATTTTTGTTAAATGTGTTTCCATGGTAGTTTCTGCTAATTGTTTCTTATCAGTTGTGCGCTTACATTTTTATGTGCATTTTCAAAATGTAGGGATGTGTACCTTCGCCACCCATTAAACATTTTTTATGCGATATAACAAAATGTGCATCAAAATAGGTGGATGGAAACACAGCTACCTACTCATCCTCCACTTGTTCCAAACCTGTGCGAGTTTCTTTCTTCTCTTTTATTTTAAAGAACGTTGTAAACTGCTAGCTATTGACTTCCATTGTATGTTCTAGAGCTGCACAATTAATCGAAATAAGATCACGTTCACAATTCGACCCCCTAGACGATCTTAATCCAGCATTTCTATGATTCTGCAAATCATATTTTCAAGTTTAGGAGAGAAGCAAAGGCGGCTGCACGAGTCTTTTCATTGTTTCACACACGTTGCTCAGCGACATGGACACCTCCAAATGATGTTAAAAGAGACACATACTGTATTTATAAGGTATAATTCACCCAAAAATCTAATTTTTGTCATATAATGCTGTATTCGCAGTCGGGAAATCACGTGACGTGAGCTGCTGACTGTGCGCGCACATCTGCTTCAGTGAACAGAACCTGCTTATGCTGTGAGTAACAGGTAATAAAGTTGTAAATAATATTCAGTTTGTGGCACAGAGTGATCGTTTGAGAGCCGCACGCTAAGTATAAACAGCACTTAGCATTAAATTAAATTAAATTAAAATAATCATATCGCATTTTAGAGTTATGATTGCGACAAGCATTTGAGAAGTTTTTTTCTTTCATTCCGAACACAGAGTTGTGCATAAAAATAAATATTCACAGTGTCAGTATAACTACTCTAGCCTATATAATGTTGATTTTACCAGTGAATTAAATGGTCTAATAATGTTCTCAACGACAGATTGCAAGCAAGCATAGGCCTATATCTCAAACATAATTCAACATCAGAATTATTATAAGAAGAATAGAATTATGTATAGAAACCAGTAGACCTACACACTCTGATAAATTATACTATTAATATTGTTTTACCATGTTTGAGAAAAAAACAATAATCTCATATTAAGCTTTATTTACATCTATAGAATCGTGAGAAAATAGTGATATTTATTTTAAGCAAAAAAAATAAATAAATAAAAAATAATAAAAAAAAAAAAAGCAATTCTCATTTTAGCCAGAATCGTGCAGCTCTAGTATGTTCCTTTCCTACTATGGAGGTCAATGGCTTCCTGCTTCCAACATCTTCAAAATATCATCTTTTATGTTCAACAGAAGAAACTCACAACCATTTGGAATCAATTAAGGGCGAGTAAACTTTCATTTTTGGCTGATCAATCTCTTTAAGTCCTCCTAAATGCAGAAAATTTGTAGGAAAAAATGTGTGTGTAAAGGAACAGGCTTTGCTTCAGTCTAAATCATGCAGCACACACACTGTATATAATAAACTGCATATACAAGTACATCAATTATTTATGTACAGTTGCTGATTTGATAATCGCAGTAGGGAATAGTTGCGCTTTGGGATTTATTTTGATTAATCGCGCAACTCTCAATGCATTTATAAGGCAGATCCATTAATCCTAGAGTCAACAAAATCACAAATCTGATTGGCTCTTTCAACTCTAGGGCGGGACTTCGTTAGATGTCTGCCAATCGTTTATCATCTCATTTCATAAGCATTTCAGCATCATCGTTCTGCAGGGACTCACTGATATTTGTAATGATGTATTTTTAAATCGCTCTACCCTAAATCTGCAGCATACAGCCTCCGCTCTGCAATTATCCATTCATTTCCTAGTAATTTCCCCCAAAGGCTTTGACCGCTGGGCTTTAAAAGGATCATCTCCACCATAAGATGCAAGACCTGTCACTTTTCGAAGCGCCCGTAAAGTCAAAGGCCAGCGGTGGAAGAATGAATCGGCCGGCTCCTGCGGGCTTGGGCTCAGCGGTAAACCGCCAGTAAAATACTGAAGTGCCAAATCAATGAAAGCCGCAGACAAAAACAAAACGAGGATTGAACAATGCCGGCGGTCCATCTGTCGCAATACCTTTATACTCCAGGATGTCTTCAGTGAGCGCCAGCATGCAGGGGAAGATACTGCTTATAAACAGGCCGAGACAGCAGGTGCCGATGAAGAGAAAAACACTGCTGTTGGAGAAGATGAGCAGCAGAAGAACTGTGACGATCACTCCCACCTGTGACAAAACACACGCAGAGATTGTTTGCAGGACTATTACAGCAGTTCATTTACAAAAAGGGATAACTTAGCTCCTATTATTTTTTAAAATGTATTTAGCGTGCACTGAAGAACTTATTTGCAAATACACTTTTTGTTTAAGCTGATAATCACAGTACACAATGTGGGTTTTGTTTTATTATTATTTTTGATTAATTATGCAGCTCTACTTTTACATTTAGTCATTTGTCAAACACACACAGAGATTGTTTGTTGGATTATTTCAGTAGTTTATTAGCAAAAACGGCAACTTAGATTTGATTAATTTATTAAAATTTATTTAGTGTGCATTGAAGAGTTTGTTTGCAAAAAATATGATTTGTAAATTTTTTTTTTAAATTGGAGTTATCCTTTTTTTTTGCAAACACACTCTTTGTTTACAGTTGATGATCGCAGTAAGGAAATGCATGTTATCTTTTATAATGTTATATGTGTTTTAATTAAGTGCTCCATCATTATCAAGGCAAAAATACTACAAAGAACATACTCTTATAATAATACCAATAAAAGTTCAAAAATACATTTGAAATATATATATTATATACACAGTTGAAGTCCCCTTTTTAATTTTTTCCCCCAATTTCTGTTTAAAGGAGAGCGGATTTTTTTTCAACACATTTCTCATCATAATAGTTTTAATAAAACAATGATACAGTAAATCATGTAATGATCAGTAAACCATGATGACAGTAAATACTATTTGACTAGATATTTTTCAAGACACTTCTGTACAGCTTAAAGTGGGATTTAAAGGCTTAACTAGGTTAATTAGGTTAACTAGGCAGGCTATTGTTATTAGGCAAGTTATTGTATAACGATGGTTCTGTAGACTATTGAAAAATAGCTTTAAGGGGCTGATAATTTTGACCTTAAAATGGTTCATAAATTTAAAACTGCTTTTATTCTAGCCGAAATAAAACAAATAAGACTTTCTCCAGAAGAAAAAATATTATCGGACATACTGTGAAAATTTCCTTGCTCTGCTAAACATCATTTGGGAAATATTAAAAAAAGAAAAACTATTTCAAAGGGGGGTTAATAATTCTGACTTCAACTCTACACACACCCACGGAAGCACGCACGTGTGCACACACACACACACACACACACACACACACACACACACACACACACACACACACACACACACACACACACTTCCACCTGATTGGCCCTTTCAGCTGTAAGGCAGGACTTACTTTTAC